CATTCTCTCTCTCTCTCTCTCTCTCTCTCTCGGCGCGCGAAAGCCGCCTCCTCACGAAGCTCCCCCCACCAACGCACGAGGCGCACGAAGAAAATAGTAACGGTCACGCTGAAAACTTAATGAGCCCCCTAATCGTTACAGTCGTGTTTTAAACCAAAAAAAAAAAAGCGATTCCCCGGGCAATCCTACTCGCGCGGGAACACACGACGCTCACGTCAGTTTTCCTCAGGTATGCATTTGACCGTTATAAATAGCAGGCACACGCAACCCCAGACTATGTGCACACGTAGAAGGGGGGCGGGGAGGCATGGAAAAAAAAAATCACAAGACAAGCCTGGAAAGATTTGAGTCTCCCTGCTCGAGCAGAGTCTATCTTTGAATGGAGGCGACCGCCTCTCCAGATGGAGAGGTTTTCTGGTTTGAGTTCATTCGGCCGGGTCTCGTCTCAAAGTCCCCCGGTTGTGGTGAGGCCTCTCCCGCCCCGCCACAGAGATAATAATACACCATAATTAATGCTGTAGCATTTCGGTGTGTTTATCCTGAGGGTAGCACGTACTTAAGGATAATTGCATCCATCTCTTTGCCCCGGGAAAATGATCTCCTACTGTATATTACACGTATTTACAAATACCTAAAGGAGAATAAAAACAGCACTAGAGAATTGCTTTCCCTCTATTTTCGATGCAAGTCTGCTTTCGACTATAGGTTAAAATGACAGTTAATTCTTTATGTTCGCTGGCGGCTGCTGGGGCATCTTCGGGAAAAGTCTCTGTAATGGATACATTTTGGAAAAAAAATACCATCTAAACTATCTCACAAGGCTGTTGTGAGGAAAAATGTTGAGGTTGGGGAGAGAAAAACATTTATGCTACCCTGAGCTTCTTGGAGGAAAGGTGGACTGTAAAGACAATTCTCCCATTGAACTGCCCTCTCTGGCAACTATTATTTAGAGGTGGACTGCATCTTCAGAATGCAAGAAATGGTCAAACTAGATCGGGGTAGAGGTCCATGTAGACTAGCCAGAATATGGAGGCTTTACCTAGCTATCATAGTGTGGATCTGGCTAGTTCCATTTGTCTTTTTCCTCCCCATTTTTAGTTACTTAAGCTAGTGATCATTATCTCTGTTTCTTTTCTCTGCATCTCTGTGTATGAACTAATGTGAATATCCTGGAAGCATGTATGTGTATGTGTGAATAAAAGAAAAATATATTTGTCAACTAAGAACCTCTAAAAGATGCTATTCTGCAGTGCTTTTGCATCAGTAACAGTGCTATCCTGTCCACTGTGTTCAAAAGACTTAATGTCACAGAACTAGGCACACAATTGCAGCTTTCCACCTGTCTTTTTTGTTTACTTGTTTCTGGTTAGTAAATTTGAAATTTCATGGCACATTGCAGAGGAGGGGAACAGTGATGCTTGGAACGTGCAGGCAGATGCTCCCTGCAGCTGCTGGTACAGAACATTGCAAAGGAGACGTCATTGAGAAGCTGTTCAAACTGTGTCAGTGTTTCTTGCTGATAGGGAGGGAAGAATATCTGTTCAGTCTCTCTGCAGCATCTGCACAAGGACAATTCCAAAGATGTCCTTCTATGTTCAAGATCATAACTATTTGTGCATATGAATATGATTTTAAGTAAACCCACTATTATTGTTGCATATTTAAAGCTAAACAAAGAATAGCTGGCACTGAGAAGCATTCATTTTCAAGCCCACAGCAAAATTTGGCAGTGCTCTCAAAATTCAAATCTAGTGGTTTACATTTCAAAGGTTTTCCACTTTTGCCTTTGAAATGTGCAATAGGCACATTATTATCATACCCTCTCCTTCCCATTCCCTCTAGATGTTTTTATTCCTGCCAATACTGTAATTTTAAATGTTTCTATGGCTACGTGTAGTTGTTGTTTTACATCAGAGTTTAATATTTAACTTCCTAGTGCAATGGGCGGTGTCCAAATTTGAAATATAAATAATAAATATTACTGAAATTACATGTTTAACCTGCACTTCCTCCAAAGCTCAAGGTAGCATACCAACTCCCATTCTTTTCCCTTCAAAACCTTTCTATGAGATAGGATAGCTTAATCACTATTAAACTGTTTCAAGTTTAAATTCTGGTATTCACTGAATTTAGGAAAATATACCTGCCCCCAACCCCAAATCCTTAGACTTCATTAATCTCACTTGATGACAAAATGGTTCTAAGAGTTGATTAATTTAGCCAAAGATACATATCTTGTCTTTTACTGAGGAAATTTGGCCCAAGATAGTCTCTCCAAATTGGTGCTCTCCAAATCTGTTGGAATTGAAGCAGCTCCCATAACTTTAAATCAGCATTACCTATTAGCAGCTTTCAAGATGGCATAAAAGTTTGGCTCTCCACAGTATACAACTTTACATACTTAAGAAGCAGATCTATTAAATGGTAGAATTTGCACTGTATACTATACTGTGGTTGATTGGTTTGTACCCCTTGGCCTGGATTTACAGAACACACTAACCATGGGTTAATAAAACCTATTTCCTATATTCAAATTACATGCTGTGCCCAAACAAAACACATTATAGCTTAACATGATGGCGTAGTTCACACAACATACTATGACAAAAGCTAGATTCTCACAACACGCTGAACTATAAGCTATCCACCCCTATTTTAGCCTAACTTTACAGATGTAAACAAGAAATTAGATTAATTCAGTAAATTATGGTTCAGTTAACCATGGTTAGTGCATTATCTCCAAACAGCCAATATAATGGGACTTATTTCTAAGATTGAATTCACACAATATATTACATCAAAATTAAAAGATCAAATTATGGCTTAATGTATTGTGTTGACCCACCATATCCCAAGCATTGTCCATTTTACACAAAACACTGCTAACCCACATGCTTATTGTTTTCATAATGTCAGAATTATATTTTGAGAATATACCATGTCTAGAGCAATAAGGTCCAAATCTGGAACAATTATCATTTGAGTATAAGGAAACCAGAATATGAAGCCTACAAGCATTAATCTTAAACTTTGGTTTCTCTAAATCCAAAATGATGGATAACTAGCTCCTTCCCATTGTCAGGAATGCAACACTAAGCATATTTTGGCAGCTGCAGCCAGTAATTGTTAGGAAAGTGTGTTCTGTGCTGCAGTGAGTTCTGTAATGGATGGACTTGGGGGTTTGAGGGACACTTTCAGTCCAGATCTTTTTCTTGATATGCAAAATGGGCTAATTGACTGGATTTTGGGGTTCCCACAGCACAACTGAGTGGCTAGAGCATGACTAGATGTGTTTGTTGTATTACCTAAGCAGTAAGCTTTTTTTCAGCAGTCCATAGCTTAATTGTTTTGTGAACCAAGCCAGTAGAACAATCTTTCCCAACATGGGTACTACCCAAATGTGTG